ACACACAGAATGAAAGTAAAGGGATGTAAAAAGACATTTTATGAAAATGAAAACAACAACAACAAAAAGCTGGGATAGTACTACTTATACCAGACAAAATAAGACTTTAAAACAAAGGCTATACCAAGTGACAAAAAAGGACCCAGTAATCCCACTTCTAGGTATTTATCCTAAGAAATCCAAAACACTACTTCATAGGGACATGTGCATCCCTATGTTCACTGCGTCATTATTTACAATAGCCAAGATATGGAGGCAACCTGGGTGTCCATCAATGTACGAATGGAGAAAGAAGAAATGATACATACTAGTATATATAATGGAATATTACTCAGCCATAAAAAAAGAATGAAATCTTGCCATCTGCAACAACATGGATGGACCTAAAGTGTATTGTGCTGAGTGGAATAAGTAAGACAGAGACAGACAAATGCCATGAGTTCACTTATATGTGTAATCTAAACAATCTAAAAAATAAATGAACAAACAAAAAAGAAACAAACTCATGGATACAGACGACATTTTGATGATTGGCAGATGAGAGGGGTGTTGTGGGGTGAGTGAAAAAGGGGAAGAAATTAAGAAGTACAAATTGGTAGTTACAAAATAGTCATGGGGGTGTAAAATACAGTGTAAGGAATATAGTCAATAATGTTGTAATAACTATGTATTGTGTCAGGTGGGTACTAGACTTATGGGGGCATCACTTCATAAGTTATATAAATGTCTAATCACTATGTCATACACCTGAAACTAATATAATATTGTATATTAAATGTAATTCAAAAATAATTTTATAAAAGCCTGTAGAAATAAATCCAAAAAATTACTGACATCCATATCGTTACACTTCATTGCTATTGCTTTTTTCACATATGTACAGTACTTGATAAAGCAATGACTCTAGAACATACACTTTCAGAAAAAGTTATCTACCACTTGCAAATATAGATGTAAATACAGTATCTTGACAAGGAACTTGCAAAGTTCTGAATTAAACACGGTCCCATCTATAATCATCTATTGAGGATCCTTCTCTCTTTAAAGTCATTCTAAAAATGGTACTATTTCTGCATGAATAAAAGCTACTATTACAGTTATGGCATTTTCCTAACAGCGGTTTTCGTCACACATTTTCATTTTTAATATCTGTGCTCAAATTCTATGCTTATGTAATTTTCTTATAAGAAATAAAATCTTTTAGATTTTTTACTTTGAAATAGTGGAACAGAAATCATTTTGCAACCAAACTCTTACCTGAATAATGGTGGCCAATATATTTACATAATTACTTTCAGTCTGATAGAGCTCTTTTGCAACTTGCCACCTGGCTGACTGCTTTGAAGGAACTGGAGTGGAATTTTTAGAAGACTTAGTACAAGACTTTGGTGTTTCTAAAAGGTAAAAAGGAGGAATGATTTAAAATGGAGGACAGCTATAAGTACCAAACATTGCACAGATTTAACAGAAAAAGGGAAGTGTACCTACTCTTATAAATATACCACCACATAGATTTTCATTAAAGTAAAATTTCCTCATAAGATGAGGTCAGGAAAAAAATATTGTCAAAAAAAATCAATGACTCCTAGTAGACAGGCATTTGACTAAATAAATGGCCTGAACTCTTCAAAAAACTTCAAGGTCATTGAAAACAAAGATTGAGGAACTGTTCCAGATTAGAAGAAGCTAGGACAATGTAACCTGTGATCCTGGTTTGGATCAAGAGATAAAAGGAACTTTTTCTTTTGATAAAAGGACCTTAGGACATTAGCAGAACAACTGGTAAAATTTCAATGTCTGTAGAGTAAATTATAGTATTAATGTTAATTTCCTAATTACAATACTTGTACTGTATGTAGCTATACAAGAAATGTCCCTATATTTTGGAAAATACAAATTGAAGTATTTAGAGGTAAAGGTACAGTACATTGTATCTGCAACTTAACTCTCAAAACACTGCAGATATAAAAAATACATGTGTGTAGAAAAAGAGAATGTGAAAGAATGTTAAAGCAAACATGGCAGAATATTTCCATTTGAGAAATTTGAGTAGTGTTCAGAAATCTTTGTACTATTTTTGCAGTTTCTTTGCCATCTGAAATTATTTCAAAATAAAAAGCTTAAATAATAAAATGGAAAGTAACATATAGAAAAATTTAAGTTAAAAAGAACGAAAAGGTTAAGATTACCCAATTACAATGGAAAGCTTTTCATGTACCATATTTCCCCATGTATAAGATGTACCCTTTTTTGAAAATTTTGGGGTCTAAAAACTGCGTGCATCTTATACAGTGGTTGTAGCTTTCTTTACTCTCATTTGACAGTGATGAGTTGTATGAATTTTATGATGAATAAAACTTGAGTTCAATAACTTCATGTAATACATCTTTTTTTCAAATTTTGGGCCCCAAAATTAAGGTGTGTCTTATACATGGGAGCGTCTTATACATGGAGAAACATGGTATATGAGGAAAACCTCCCTCAAAAAACCCCAGTATCAATTGCAAATTCTTAGTTCAAAGTATCTTAACAAAATATAAAACATCCAGTCCAACCCAAAGTGCAGGGAGGATGTGTTAGTATATTTTATACGTATTTCAAGAAAAGTTTCTAAAAAGTGAAATTTTTTACGATCAATATTGTTAGAATATTTCCACATTGTATCCAGAATCTCCTAATAGCAAATTTTTCAATAGGAAAGGAATGTAAAACATGCACTCGAATGACATAAAAAGAGGCAATATAGAGTCCCAGTATATCAATTTTACTCAACGAAAAATAATCTTAAGCATTATTAAAACAATCATGTGTACTATGGAGTTTGGAAAGCTTTTTAAAGATAAAAGACTTCAAAGAACTTCCCACTTGCCATGTTATTTCAGGCTATTCTCACCAGATTGAGGAACCTCTGCCATTAAAAGTACTTTAGGGGGAAAAAACTGACGTACAGTGACCGAATTTAATTATTGTGTCTAGACACAATAATTCTATTATATAGAGTATCTAATATATCAGTATAGTTGACATGTCTGTTTGTTTGCATGGTTCATTTTCTTCTCCTGTCCCCTAAATTGCATTCAAGCGTCAGTCCTTTATGATCAGCTCTTACCATCCAATGCCCATTGTGTCCATAATTCCACAACCAGTAAATTCTCAGATCTACTTATCTAATCAAAATCTCCAGTGCAAGCACCTGGTTCAACTTTTCCAAATGCCTACTGGACATTATTACCTCAATTTAATCTGGATTTTCTCTAAAACTGCACTATCTTCCTCCAAAATATGAACTTCCTATTTTTGCCAATGTAACATTTCTTCCAGTTAGTACTTTGAGATCATCTCTTCTTATTTCCCTCCTATCATTCTTTATTTCCCCAGTTTGCTTCTTACTTTTCTTTCCAAGCATCACTAACCCTGGTTCAGTGCCTTATCATCTCATGGCCCAAGCCACTGTAGATTACTTCATGGCCTGGCTATCTATAAACTACCTTCCTTCTAATCATTCTTCAGAATAATCCACTACANTTGGTAGTTGCTAGAGGCGGGGGAGGGAGAGGACAAAATGGGTAATGGCGGTCAAAAGGTACAGCTTCCGGTTATGAGATAAGTCTGTCCTAGGGATATAATGTACAGCATGGTTGACTATAGTTAATAATACTTTATTGTATATTTGAAAGTTGCTAAGAGAGTAGATCTTAAAAGTTCTCACAAAGAAATAAAACATTGTAATTATGTGTGGTGATAGGCGTAAACTAAAATTATTGTGGTATTGACCATTTTGCAGTATATACACATATCACACCATTACGTTGTACACTTAAAACTAATACAATACTAAGTAAATTATATCTCATCTTCAAAAAAAAGCAAGGTAGAATAAGAGTTTCAGAGAAAACTCTTTGAAGTTATATGAAGGGTATAAAATCCTGGATCCAGCACATTAGATGAATGACATTGGAAAAATTATTTCATCTGTGTGTATAGCAGTTGGCATCTATAAAATGTAAACAATATTAATACCAACTTCTTAGTGGTGTTCAGTAGATACAGCAGTACTTGACAGATGGCTGGCTACGTTTAAAAGAAGAAAAATCTATGTATAAAAATGAGAAAATATAACAAAATTTTAGGAGTATTTGGGTAATAGGATTATGGGTATTTTTAACTCCTTTTCCCATTTCTCCTGATTTTACAAATTTGACAGTATGTATTGGTGTCATGGTAGAAAATAACACAGGCTTTGTAATTTTTAAACCTGAAATCAGCTAAAGAACAATAGCTGAAATATTGGTAATCTAACTTTTCAGAAGAAGCTTAAAGAATTATGTTACACATGAGAAAACTAAAGAGTGATAATTATCTTCAAAGCTCCAATAAATCAGCGAACATGGTTTTCTGAACTTGTGATCCTGTACACGTAAAAAGTGTAACATTTTATATTAGAAGGGAACTTTGCATTCCCAGAATGGATAAATGACTGACACAAAGTCAAAGTGATCCACAAATTAGTGGTAGAGCCAGGACCAAGATAAACACCTACCTGCCTTCTCATTCTACTTTTATGCCTCAGTGTTTCTTATGAAACAAAAAACATTCCAAGATACTTTCCTCTTCAAATTTTCAGAACCCTAGCTGGAAATAAGTATAATATAGCCTGAGACTCTGTAGTTTTGTAGGAAAATAAAGATTACTAAAAAATAAATACAGCAAAATTTTAAAAAAGAAAATTCCTTCAGAATTCCCTTCAGGTCCAGAAATAACTGNTGTAAAACAGGAGAAATAAAATCTACCTTATAAATACACAATATATAAAAAGCACTTAGCATATAGTAAGCAATCATTAAATGGAGGCATTTGCATGTGGCTTTTCTCCTCAGCTAGAACAAAAGTAATTACGTAAAAGTACAGCCTTTCATATTCACTACAGTACAGATTTATCTATATGCTCTAATAATCATTCCATTCCACTACATTTTAAAGATCAATTTTGAAAAATGTGCATTACCTCCATAGTTAATGCTAGACTCTGGTGTGTTGGAGATATCTAGGAGAGACCCTATGGAAAGGGAATGTTCAGCTGATGGGCGCTTACGGGGAGGAAAAGGTGACAGGTCTGTCTCTCTTGAAAGCTGAGCAAGTGTCTCTTTTAAACGACGTCTTTTGCGATTGCTGTTTGGAGTATTTAGAGAAAGCAGTGACACTGATTTCTTGAGCTCAGGTGTATTAGCCTGCAATCAAAAGCACAAACGCTCACTTTTACTTCCATGGTTCTTTACGGAGACAGAAACAAAAGAAAAATATGTTTATGAGTCTGGCAAACTCTGGATTTTGCACAATAATTTTACAACTACATATTCTGCCAGGTAATTCAGAAGCTTCATAAAACATAATAGTCCAGAGACCACTGTAATTGTCTAACCCTAAGCACCTCATTCTTTTTCTTCATGCCACCATCACCATTACATATTTGCCTGTAAGTGTGTTGCTGTCTATCCCCTGGTTAGGCCATAAACTCCAGGAGGGCAGGAACCATTCACACTTTGTTCACTGTATCCCTACCATTTAGCACAGTGCTAGACATAGTGTTCTCCAGTATTTGTAAATAACACTTGATTTTTAGAGCTCTCTCCCAAAATCTAAAGCATATTTTTTTACCTTTATGTTAACAACCAGTAGAGTCTGAAGAGAACAATACAGTACCTGTTTGGATTTTATAGAAACACAATAAATCCACACCTCATCCTCAATATTACATTCCAAATGATTAAATCCCAAAGGGAGGTAAATCTTCCCTTAAAGCCTGCTTTTTATAGCTTTATGTCACATTTGAGTAAATAATACCACTCTTCACCAAGATCCAGGACAGAGGCTCGATTTTCCTTGCCTACATTCTACTATGGCAGTCATTTTTTAAATGACATCTCTTCCCTTAATATTCAGTGGCTCTCAATACTTACAGGATAAAATCCAAACTTCTCGATTCTGCCCACCTAGTAAGATTTATCTGTTGGCCTTCTATCTTTCCCACACTTTTCTAAAGCCATACTAAGTGACTTGCTATTTTAATGTAATTTCAAACTTTTATACCCCCTTTCCACCTGCTAAGTTGAACATCCTAACCAGATTAGCCTAGTAAATTGGCTCAACATTTATGTGCTCTTTCCAATCCAGTCTAAGTGTCTCAGAGTGAGGCTAGTCAGAATACATTACTCAATTACAATACATTCATGCTGCACTATAACTGTCTGCAAACCTATCTTTCGCTTAAGGTTCTAAGTTTCTGAAGACAAGAATGTTACTGTTCATAACAGTATCACCAAATATTAGCACAGGATGACATATGAGATTAAAATAATAATCATTATGTTGAATTGTTTCACTTAAATCTCTAATAGACTACTCCATATCCAATTGTTTAATTATTCTCAATTCCAAAAAACGATGTAAAAGATAATATATATGCTAACTATACCATGCTCTTTTTTAACAGAAAAGTGTCATCTTCATATAATCAGATTCACAAAACAAATGACTAAGGTACAAACAAAAAGCATACCTTTTCATACAAATACATAGTTTCTCCAGCTCGGGCGTCCATTTGAATGCTTCCCCAGAACCACTAGGTGAGGGAAAGAACATTTTAATTAAGAATTTACCTTATCAGAAAAGCTATTAGTAATATTTTTAGAAGACTAATCCCATTCTAGAATTACTTGCCTCTTGCTTGACAACATAAAGTTTCTTTGAAGGCTCAAATGGAAGTTCTTTTACTGTATTCTCTTCAACTATAAGGTGAGTGCATCTTTCATCTCCAACCGGTAAGTAGTGACCTCCTAAAGAGGAATGTATACAAGCATAAATAAGGCAAGATACTTATCACCAAACCCAAATTTTTAAAGAGGCATATTCTCCAGGAAATGATAGGGCAGAAAAGTGGAATTAAATATATGTAACTTATAAATTATGTTAAATTCTACCTTGCATTTCAGTCATTTCTTCCATATTGGTTTTCTCTTCATCTGAAAATCCCAGGAAACTTAAAACGCAATCTTGAAAAGGAGGAACTTTAAATTCATTTCTAAAGCCATCAACTGATGCACAAAAATCCCTAAAAACAAAACGTATTCTTCTAAATCCAGTTTAACTTAAACTCAATAAATTAGGTATATCAATTTTTAATTGTAAAGGAATTCTCAAAGTTTTAGCATATTTCATTAATTGAAAACATTTTACATCTGGTCCTGAAATGTTCACAGAAACTTCAGGTAAAAAATAAAACTGAAAAAAATAAAAATAAAAAAATAAATAATAAATAAAAATAAAAAATAAAACTGATGTGCCCTCAGTCATCCTGAAGTAACTTCTAACAAAATTTGATCACAGGTAATCTTTACAAGATTCAAATCGCTGCTCTGTACATGAAATTGTGTATGTATTCCAGGGGTTCTACAGTTTCATGACACCTTAAGTAATGAAGAAGCACAATAGCAAGGAATTATGAGGTTTGAAAGCTTGAAAAGATTACAAATTGCAATCACCACTAAAATGCAACCAGACAAACATAAAATAAGACAAAATACAATACAATCCAAACATCCAGATGCATTAATCTATTACTTAATAATTTCAGAAGCTTTATCATAAAAATTATTTCACAAGGTAAAATCCAAAGATACCACAGAGATCTTTCAATTTTCAACTTTTGATCATTTTTTTTATAACTTTGCTCTTCCTAAACTTTATTTCCTAAGCTACCCAAAGACTGAACTCATTTTTTCTATACTATCTATGAATTTAGGGTTTGGGGCATATGGGTTTATATTTATAACATGTTTAACTCACATAATGAACTATTGAATTTCTAAACACTTACAGCTCATTTCGCCTTTCCCAAGCTTTATAAATCCATTCTGGCTTCATAATTGGAGTACCCAAGCTCACAGCAACCTATAAATATAAACATGAACTATGATTAATTTTTACTCTAAATAACTACATTTGTGGAAGTTCCAAGCAATTATATACATAATTTTTGCACAGTTTTATATCATTGTTCATCTACTTTATATCAAAATATAAAGAAAAATTAACCAAAAAAACCTGTCTTTCATTCATAGAACTTAGGTTAAAATAACTTTAAANTCAATGACTCTGCCGCTCAAGAGTCTCTAAAGTTCCTTGACGATTACAATATACAGGTCAGACATGCCAGTCTGATTTCAAAGTCCTGTAATATTAGGCCTCAATTAATATTAGGCCCTTTTCTAATTAACTCTTACTTCTCCATACTCCAAGGAAACTGACCTATTCACTATTCCCTAAAAACTCAATTTGTATACTGTATTCTTGCTCTTCTTATATTCTCAAATCCACCTCAGTTTTCTGGGCCTACCTTAAAATGACTTTCAACTCCTTCCATGAATATTTAGTGAGTACTTACTCTGCACTAGGCATTGGGAATAAAGTAAAGAATAAGATAGTCGAAGTTCTTTAAAGCTTACATTTTTGGTGAAGCAAATAAAATAAAGAAGCAAATAAAAAACGTAATTTCAGGGCCAGCGGAATGGCTCAGTTGGTTAAGAGCTCGCTCAAGAATGCGAGCGCTTGAACAACAGGGTCGCCGGTTCTATTCTCGGCCCAAGCTTAGCTGCCACTAAGCTGCCAACAGGTGGCAGGATGGCTCAGCTAAAAAAAAGAAATATAATTTCTAACAGTGATAAATACCACTGAAGACAACCACCAGATAATGGGTTGGTAGGAAGGCGTGGTGGAACAGGGACTTAGCTTCACAGAGAACCCAACAGGATTTCTTTAAGGCAGAGAGAGCAAATATAACATTCTTGAGCTATGGATGTAGTAAGAAATATTCAAAGAATAATAAAGATGGTGTGACTAAAGTTTAGAGAGTATTATTAAAGAGCATGATACCACATGAGGTTAGAGTAGGTTAGGAAGGATTACATAGGAATTTGAAAGCAATGGTAATACAAAGCCTGAATGACTTTAAGCAGAGGAGTGGCATGATCTAATTTATAGTTTTAGAGACAACTATAAGTGCTACATGTAAAAAGGCAAAAATTGATCTACAGAGACCATTTAGGAGACCCCAGCAATTTTCTAAGAGATTCTTAGTACAAAAAAAAAAAGGCTGATAAGGGAAGAAAGGCAAAGGAATAGTGTTGAGTGGTAGAATCAAGAGCTCTAATTTGACGTTAAGTTTAAGATGTGGACAAGGAGGCATTAAGTAGGCAGTTGGACAGCAAAGACAAATTTTGAGTCATCAGCATAAAAATGTTGTTAAAGCAATGGAATTAAATGAGATCATTTAGGGAGAATAAAACAGAAGAAACAACTCAGGAATAACATTCAGCATTTATACTTGGAGAGAGAAGTGCGGCAAAGGAGAATAAGACACGAGTAATGTACAAAAGCAAAGAGAAAAGAATGTGTCAGGAATGCAGCCGTTCATGTGTTGAATGGTGTTGATTGCATCCGAACTGTCAGTCTCCCAAGCAAGGGCAATTTCACGTAGTACAACTGAAGTTCAACTGGAATAGGTTGAAAAGACAATGAAAAGAAAAAAAGATGATGAATCAAGGTAATTCTCTGAAAAGAATTCTTGAAAAATAAGAGAGAAATAGGATAATAAGTGGAGAGTGTCATGAGATCAAGGGAAGGTTTTGATTGTTTCTTAAATCTAGAAAACACAACATATTTGTGTGCAGACTAAAAAACAAAAAATAGAGAGAAAAAATGATGATCAATAGAGAAGAGTTAATTGTCGAAGTCTTTCTGTATCAGTTGAGGACAAAGTGAACTCACCCTCCTCTGACTTCATTGTACCTATCTTCTCCACAGTTCATGTGACGTCTGTGATTTTGTATAGCTAGTGCTAAGAATTTGCTCTTTGAACAGCTCCATCACTTTCTAATTAGCTGTGTGACCCTAAACAAGTTACTTATCTAACCTCAGTCTAGTAACCTGTAAAACAGGAGAAATAAAATCTACCTTATAAATACACAATATATAAAAAGCACTTAGCATATAGTAAGCAATCATTAAATGGAGGCATTTGCATGTGGCTTTTCTCCTCAGCTAGAACAAAAGTAATTACGTAAAAGTACAGCCTTTCATATTCACTACAGTACAGATTTATCTATATGCTCTAATAATCATTCCATTCCACTACATTTTAAAGATCAATTTTGAAAAATGTGCATTACCTCCATAGTTAATGCTAGACTCTGGTGTGTTGGAGATATCTAGGAGAGACCCTATGGAAAGGGAATGTTCAGCTGATGGGCGCTTACGGGGAGGAAAAGGTGACAGGTCTGTCTCTCTTGAAAGCTGAGCAAGTGTCTCTTTTAAACGACGTCTTTTGCGATTGCTGTTTGGAGTATTTAGAGAAAGCAGTGACACTGATTTCTTGAGCTCAGGTGTATTAGCCTGCAATCAAAAGCACAAACGCTCACTTTTACTTCCATGGTTCTTTACGGAGACAGAAACAAAAGAAAAATATGTTTATGAGTCTGGCAAACTCTGGATTTTGCACAATAATTTTACAACTACATATTCTGCCAGGTAATTCAGAAGCTTCATAAAACATAATAGTCCAGAGACCACTGTAATTGTCTAACCCTAAGCACCTCATTCTTTTTCTTCATGCCACCATCACCATTACATATTTGCCTGTAAGTGTGTTGCTGTCTATCCCCTGGTTAGGCCATAAACTCCAGGAGGGCAGGAACCATTCACACTTTGTTCACTGTATCCCTACCATTTAGCACAGTGCTAGACATAGTGTTCTCCAGTATTTGTAAATAACACTTGATTTTTAGAGCTCTCTCCCAAAATCTAAAGCATATTTTTTTACCTTTATGTTAACAACCAGTAGAGTCTGAAGAGAACAATACAGTACCTGTTTGGATTTTATAGAAACACAATAAATCCACACCTCATCCTCAATATTACATTCCAAATGATTAAATCCCAAACGGAGGTAAATCTTCCCTTAAAGCCTGCTTTTTATAGCTTTATGTCACATTTGAGTAAATAATACCACTCTTCACCAAGATCCAGGACAGAGGCTCGATTTTCCTTGCCTACATTCTACTATGGCAGTCATTTTTTAAATGACATCTCTTCCCTTAATATTCAGTGGCTCTCAATACTTACAGGATAAAATCCAAACTTCTCGATTCTGCCCACCTAGTAAGATTTATCTGTTGGCCTTCTATCTTTCCCACACTTTTCTAAAGCCATACTAAGTGACTTGCTATTTTAATGTAATTTCAAACTTTTATACCCCCTTTCCACCTGCTAAGTTGAACATCCTAACCAGATTAGCCTAGTAAATTGGCTCAACATTTATGTGCTCTTTCCAATCCAGTCTAAGTGTCTCAGAGTGAGGCTAGTCAGAATACATTACTCAATTACAATACATTCATGCTGCACTATAACTGTCTGCAAACCTATCTTTCGCTTAAGGTTCTAAGTTTCTGAAGACAAGAATGTTACTGTTCATAACAGTATCACCAAATATTAGCACAGGATGACATATGAGATTAAAATAATAATCATTATGTTGAATTGTTTCACTTAAATCTCTAATAGACTACTCCATATCCAATTGTTTAATTATTCTCAATTCCAAAAAACGATGTAAAAGATAATATATATGCTAACTATACCATGCTCTTTTTTAACAGAAAAGTGTCATCTTCATATAATCAGATTCACAAAACAAATGACTAAGGTACAAACAAAAAGCATACCTTTTCATACAAATACATAGTTTCTCCAGCTCGGGCGTCCATTTGAATGCTTCCCCAGAACCACTAGGTGAGGGAAAGAACATTTTAATTAAGAATTTACCTTATCAGAAAAGCTATTAGTAATATTTTTAGAAGACTAATCTCATTCTAGAATTACTTGCCTCTTGCTTGACAACATAAAGTTTCTTTGAAG